AGAAATTACAACCATATTTCTTGCTTTTTTTTTTTTTTTTTTTTTTTTAAGACAGGGTTTCTCTGTGTAGCTCTGGCTGTCGTGGAACTTGCCCTGTAGACCAGGCTGGCCTTGAACTCCCAAAGATCCACCTGCCTCTGACTCATATTTGTGTTTTTATTGTATTGTCACACAGCAAAGGAAAAGCTCACATCTTGTGACAAAGGGACCTATATCATGTGAACAGCATTTGTGGGTGTGGCTGGTTTTTAATTTCTCTGGTGGGCATTTGATATTACTAGAATTGTTTATAAAAAGTTTTAAACCCAGAGACCTGTTAGGATGGTATTACTGTTCATAGTTTGTGAGAAGTTCATTTTAGCAGTCTTTGTGGTATTGTAGGAAGGTTTTAAGGTGTGCTTCTGTTTTTACTGACAGGTGCATCCCCTGTAAAGGTTCTCGGTTTCCTCCTACCCTTCCACGACCTGCTGTGGCTATATTATCCTTTAAGCTTCCTTACTGTCAGAATGCAACAGAGAAAGGCCAAATGGAGGTATGTGGGTGCCTTAATACTCTAAATTTGATAGTAAATACCCGTGACACAGACTATTCTAGATTGTCACAGTGCCGGTGTTGAATATTCCCACGCTGTGGTTAAAGAAATAATTCAGTAGACTCTGTTTCCAACGCCATCTGGTGTGGTTGCTGTCACAGCTTCCAGGCCTTACTGCAAAGGAAATGTCATGGCTGGGAAGGTTTTACCTTCTCAGTGGGGTCAAGCAAGCCCTCTACACTGACCTTAAACTCTCGTGTCATTAAAAGACGTTTGAAACTTTGCACTTACTTATGCTAGTTAAGAAGCAAATCTTCTCCAGAACTAGTTTACCAAGTTCTCTGAGGACTAATCACAGGAAGGAAGGGTGCTGTACACCTACACAGAGCCACTTTTCACAAAGGCCAGAACGTTAAGCCAAGTTGTAATAGCACACTGGAATTAGAATTTTTCATTAAGCCTATAAAGGAAGGAGGGGTACAAAAAATATTTTAAAGCTAACATTTGCCTCATATCAAGGGAATGTTCAGTCTTACGCACTTTGATCCATTTTCCAGGAACAATTTTGGCATTCGGTTCTGTTTCACAACTACATTGATTATTTGGCTAAAAATGGGTATGATTATGAGGAGAGTGCTAAAACTCAAGCGGTAAAAGAGCAGCAGGAACTCCTAATGAAAATGTTTGCGGTGAGTAAAATATATTGAAAAATTAAGTTTAAATATTGCCTTAGGTTGAAATTACTTTTTTTTTGAAACAGGGTGTCTCTGTGTAGCCCTGCTGTCATGGAACTTGCTCTATAGACCAGGCTATCTGTCTCTGCTTCCCGAGTGACTAAATCATGCACCACCATGCCCAGCCCTAGGTAGAATTTTTTTAAATATGTGTAAATAAAGACTAAATTCTACCTTCTAGGAGTCAGAGATTTTTTTTTTCTTTCTCTCTTAAAATACTTGCTATTTCCCTGTCGCTAAGACCGTAGGAGGGAGAGTAAGCTTTCCTGGTGCTGTGCTCACCCTCTGTGCTCTAGCAGGTGCTCCAGGTGACTAGCAAGTCTGAGAGCCGTTGTTGTGACCCCCGTCCAAGCCACAGTGACTTGTAGAGCTCTGGGGCTGGATAGTTTTGAGAGCGCCCTGGGGCTTTGGGTTTCCCGGGCTTTCGTCATCACCTGTGGCCGGGTTTGGTGCCTGGTGCTCTTCACTACACTTATCTTTGGAGCATAGTCTCTCGAGGTTTGTTGTCCCCATTGCAAGTTTTTGTTATTGAAAGGAATGTAGTCCATGTTTCTCTGGATGTGTACTGTTGACCTTTGAGGGGAGTGATGGTTTATTCATTCTAGCCACTGCAAGAACCACACTGCCCTCTGACTCACAGTTCCACCTTGATTAGAAGTGCTCCCTCTGAACTAATCATACCAGCAATCTTGAGGAGGCTTGGGTGACTGTGTAGAGCGCATATGCTTATAGGTCAGGTGTGTAAGTTACAAACTGCTCCTGCCCCGTGAGTCACAAGACCTCCAGTGTCCCTCAGAGTGGAAAGAACTTGTTTTGAGCTTGAGTTGTTGTCATGTGACAAGTAGTCAAAATTCAAACCAAAGATAAAAGTCAGGATTTTCTAAGACACATTAAATGAATGTTCCTCCCCACTTCGGTTTTAATGTTTGTTTTACTCTATGAGTATTTGCCGGTGTGTGTGTGTGTGTGTGTGTACCATGTATATGCCCAGTGGTCACGAAGGCCAGAAGAGGGTATTGAGCATTCTGGAAGTGGAATTCCAAACAGTTAGGAACCACTGTATGGGTGTTCGGAATAGAGCTGAGGCCCTCTCCAAGAGCAGCAAATGTTCTTTGAAAGGCCTGGAATTAGCACAGGATACTACAAGACCAAGTTCCCTGCACAAAGGAGATTTATTTGCCCCAGGGGGTCAAAGAGCAAGGAATAAAAGACAAAGACAGACAGAAGGAAAAAGGCACAAGGGAGAAGGTGTATCTGTCCTGGAGGGACAAAGGACCACTGCTGGGTAGAGAGGAGAGAGATGTGGCCCATATGCAAATGGCAGTTTTTAAAGAGAAAAGGGACATTTGTTAGGATATATGATTGTTTTTGACTGGGTGTGTTAATTAGGTGAGCCAAAGAGGGCTTCAGTTGTTGGAGTTGAATACTTTGATAGCTGGACCTTGGTAGTCAGCCTCAGGAGGAGGAAGTGGACACATAAGGGAGTAGACCTTGAGGCCTAGCTTTAGGGATGTAACCTATGGTTCGTCGAGGAGCAGGGATGGGGACACGTCTTCCTCCCAGAGCCGTGTTTGCTATGCTCTGGCCGACTAGAGCCTTTATTCTTAGCCACTGAGCCATTCTTCTTGCCCCTAAACACCCCTCGTTTTAAATTATAGGCATAAAAAATGCAAATGTTAACTTAGACGTTGGATAGCTATTTCAAGTAGTTGAAGATTATAGACAACATCATACATGAAATTTAAGAATGTCTACTTCCCTCATCCATGTTTGCTTAATAGCATTTCTTGGCCAGTTCTGAACAAAGTAGTAACTGGTTTTTGCTTTAATTTACTTTTCTAGATTCCCTGCCCTATTGTGATAGGTGGCAGCTGGAAAAAAAATTTAGGAGAACTACATTTGAATTTTGAACAGCTGTCTTATTTTTCATGCAGTTAAAATCTGAAATATGTTATCTCATTGAATCTAAGCTACTGTTTGTAAATGTGCCATCATTTTATTCATGTAAGCCACTAAGAAATACTGCTGATCAAGCTAACCCATCATTAATTATAAGATACTTTTAAAGTTTGTAGATGTAAAAATGTACATTTTAGAATCATTAAAATAGTGCACCAAGAAAGTGGTTTTTATTTTACTGGTATGTCAGTTTTGTTTTAAAGTTTGACTAAACATGATTTGATTTTGATTCTCCCCTGATTAGCTTTCTTGTAAACTGGAACGAGAATTCCGCTGTGTGGAACTTGCTGATCTAATGACTCAAAATGCTGTGCATTTAGCTATTAAATATGCTTCTCGCTCTCGGAAATTAATATTGGCTCAAAAACTTAGTGAACTTGCTGCAGAAAAGGCAGCTGAATTGGCAGAAACTGAGACAGAAGAAGAACAAGAAGAGGATTTCAGGAAAAAACTGAATGCTGGGTAAAAGAACAAATAATTTCCCTTTACCCTCTTGAACATGAAGCTGGTGTTTGCATTTGTTTTTATGGTATAATACTATTACCATCAGTTACAGTCATACCACTACCGAATGGAGTCAGCCACAAGTCAAAAATCAAGTTGAAGAAGACAACGAAGATCGAGAAGAGACTGTTTCAGAAGAAAAACCAGAGCGACATAACCATGGTGAGACACGTTTTTCAGAACAATAAAAGATAAGGAGGCTCAGCAGGTGATGGTACTTGCCATGCAGTGTTGACAACCTAGGCTCTGCTTCAGAGCACACCTAAAGGTAGCACACTTAAACTGACTCTGCAAAGTTGTCTTCTGACCTCTGTATGCACAAGTGCCATCCCCAACAGCAACAGTCAGTCAGTAAAAGCTTTCATTACTATTACCTTTTCCATTTTGGTTGGCTGAGAGAAATAGAATTCCCACATTTTTTTTCACGGTGTCTCTGCTAACTAGATGTTGTATATCAAGAATGACTTCATTTTCCTCACTTACATTGTTTTATTTATTTATTTTAACTATAGGGCAGAAGCCAATCCGAAGTGAAAATTCCTCTGATATGCCAGCTCTTAAACCAGGTGAGAAATGTACGTAAACTTGGAGCATAGAACAGAGGCTATATTCTGGTCAGTGGAGAATAGGTATACCTGAGGGCATTCTCATGGAATGCTGACAGCAGAGACTAGAAGATGAATCAGCCAGCAAGGGAGTGGTGGACGGGAGCAGGAGCAGAGGAAACAGTACATGTGAAGACTGCAGAAAAAGAACCTAGGGGACAAAAGAGTTCTGTAGGCCTTGGAGGGACAGGCAGGAGGCAAATCTTACGGACTTTCTAGACTGTGTTAAGAATTGAATCTTCATTGTAAGGTCCCTGGGAGGCTAGAGATTCTAAGCAGAAACACAGCCATTGTACATGATGCTAAAGGGGAATGGACGTAAAACTACTAAAGCAGTCCAAATAAGACTAAATAGTTTTGCTTGGGCTAGAGTAGTAATAGTAGAAAGAAAAGGTAGGGTTGTTGGGGTCTTTTGAAGGTGAAGATGGTTTAGATTGAAGAACAGTATAGCATCAGAACCACTAGAGAGAAGCAAACAGGTTCATAGGAATGCTGATGAATTACCATTAGCTAAGTAGGCCACATAGTTAGGCATTTGCTTCAGGACCTCATGAAATAAATCTCAAGCCATTGACATACATAGAGCACTCTATACCTACCATGGGCACTGGTGAGCGTGCAGAAGAGAGTTTGTAAAGCAAGAAGAAACGGGCCTCAGTTAAGAGGATTTTCAGCATTTAAGCCACAGGTACAGAGGAGAGGAAGCTCTGAAAGAGTGAAATCACAGGTCCAGGGAGAAAGGGTAAGTCTGAAATGTAGTCTCTAAAAAGTTAAGGGATGGGGAAAGACTGAAGATTCTACTATATGCAAAGCCATTGAGGGGTCCAATACAGGGGCAGAAAGTAGCCATCACATTCGGTTACATAGAAATGGGTGGGGACTTCAGCTATTGTGTAGGAGGGTTGGACATCATACCATAGTGTGGAGAAATGTGTGGGCAAGGAGGAAATAATAGTAATGTCAGTGGCTTTTGAAAACTCTGGTAGGGGTTGTGAGAAAAGATGGTGGTTACAAGTAGCAAGAGCTTAGTTTGTTTTTGTTTTTAGGCTGAGAGACAGGCGAATGAAAAGGGATAAATGTCAGAAGATTGGGAGAGAGGCTTTCAGTAGACTGTTTCCCTGACCAAGTGGGCACGGGTGTCCACATTCAAGGAGTTACTAACCTTAGCACCCCTTTGCATGGCCAGGAGGAGAAGGGGTTTAATCACTGGCATGTTTCACAGCAGCAAGTTGGGACAGTTCCCACCTAACGTTATTCTGTCTTGGAAGAAGAGAAGTGGTTATCTGTATTTGTTATTAGTTTTAAAGTTACATGGGGGCTGGGAATGGTAGGACACACCTTTAGTATTAGTCCTAGAGAGGCAGAGGTAGGAGAATTTCTGTAAGTTTGAGGCCAGCATGGTTTACATAGCAGATTCAGGGCAGTCATGTCCACATGACTCTGTCTCTTTGTTTTCACATGCTACAGATTAAAATATTCTATGTAGTATTGTAAAAGTCAGAAGCTGTCATTGGGGGAAAAAAAAAAAAAAGCACTATTTGAGAGGTTTTTTTTTGTTTTTTTTTTGTAATAGGTGCAGTCTTCTCTAGCAGCCAAGGACGGGTAAACCCCTTCAAGGTGAGCAGCGCCATGTTCTGTTGGCATGTTACCCACACAGAGATGCTTTCAGATGACCAGATGCCCTCAGTAGACTCTGAGGGATTAGAGCAGATCACTGTGAAGACAGAGGGGAGCTGCGCAGTTCACATCTGCCCTCAGCGTTTGTGCTCTTATCTGAGTACCAAAATGATCTGAGTTGATCATTTGACACGTTCTTCCTGTCTGTCTTTGGGATGTGGTATTTGAGAGAATATGCTACAATTCAGCCTCAGTTTGGGCTGTACTCCATGAATTCATTTCCAAAAGGGATACCACAATGGAGTTGTTTTCTTCTTCAAATATAATAGGCTCTTTTCTTTTTAGGTACTAGTCAATTCCAAAGAACCAGCCGTGTCAATGAATTCAACACGCTCAACTAATATCTTAGACAACATGAACAAATCATCCAGAAAGTCCACTTCTCTCAATCGAGCAGCAAATAATGAAAAATCTCCAGTTATAAAGCCTCTCATTCCCAAGCCAAGGGCTAAGCAGGTACTGCTTTGGTGAGCCTGTGCACTGTTCTGGGATAGTAAAGTGCCTGGTTTATCACTGGGTATGTAGCAGGAGTGCGTTCCGTCTTCTTTTAGCCCCGAATCCCCTTTTTAGATATTTATATGTTCGCCCCTAGACTCACATCTGTTTATTTTCATAGGCATCTGCAGCATCCTATTTCCAGAAAAGAACTTCACAGGCCGATAAGACTGAGGAAGTAAGAGAAAATCCCAAAGAGTCATCATCTGAAACTCCAGCTGTGTGTCCTCAAAACTCTGAAAACCAAAGGTCAGTATAGAGAGAAATTTTGTGTTTAGTATGCAATGTCTGACCAGGTGTGATAACATGCCTTGAATCCCAGGACTCAGGAAGCAGAGGCAGGTGGCTCTCTCTCTGAGTTCAAGGCCAGCCTGGTCCACAAAGAGTACCAGCACAGCCAGAGCTACATAGAGAGACCCTGTTCAAAAATAATTAAAAATAAAAATTTATTTGTAAATACCTTTGTCATTCATTCAGGCTAATATTTAAGGTCTATTCAGCTTCAGCTAGCATGTTGACTCAACGTGGGGATTAACATGGGGATTCTGACATCAGACTGCTTCGCTGTTTAATCTCAGATCCTACTCTTTTTCCCTATGTTACCTGAACTAAGTTGTTTCAGCTCTCTGAGCCTTGGTTGCCTGCTGTATTAGTTGAGATATCAAGTATTTCCAAATCATAGGGTTTTGCTACAAGGTAATACACAATATAGTATTTAGGATACATGACAGCAAGTGCTCAGAAACTTCAGTATCTCCATTAAGCCTTCTCATGACCTAAACACAATTTGTGCAGAAGGTATAATAGGATCCAGTCAAATTTACAAGTTGCTTTCTCCAGGCTTTTCCAAATAATGGTGCAGGAAAAACCCAAGTCAGCGGTAAGTGGGTTAAGGTGATGGGAAGGGGCTAAGAGAACCTGGCTCAGAGCCAGGTTTCAGATAGCTGCTTTACTACATGGCAAGAGCCTATGAATTCTGTCCACTGGAGGAATTCTGTCAGGCCAGTCGGGCTCAGTGTAGTTGGAGACCCAGAACCTGTAAACGCACAAGAGCTGAAAATACAGACTTCATGTGTCTGCACTGACAGCTGTAAGGCTAAGTGATTCTCCTGAACTGACCCTGCAAAGGATTCTCCAGCTCACTGAGCCTGCAGTCTCCAGGCTGTTGAAAGTGACACAGATATTATCAACTAGTAGAGTTGTGTCTCCCTTACTTTGTCTGCATATTGAAAGGCTGATGGTTAGCTACTAATTTTAAAAGTTATGTGATACTTTAAATAATATATTCATCATAAGTTTTTTCTTGTAATTATTACTTTAGGCCGAAGACTGGTTTCCAGATGTGGCTGGAAGAAAATAGAAGTCATATTTTGTCTGACAATCCTGATTTTTCAGATGAAGCAGACATAATAAAAGAGGGAATGATTCGGTTCAGAGTGTTGTCCGCTGAAGAGAGGAAGGTAAGGAGTACTATGCTGAGATGAGGTTGTGGATTTCCTCTGTTTAAAATGTTTCCTCGATTTAAAATAAAGAACCTTTTTCTGTGGAATATTGAATACATTAAAAAAAAAATCCTGGTAAAGATGAAATTAGATAAATTAGATGTATGGGTTTTAACAAGTGGACTCTGTGGTTACTGAGTGCCTGATTTGAGAAGCCAGCTGTGTAAATGTGTGTCTATCTACTTACATTAGAATAATTCCTTTGCTGTTTTGGTCCAGCTTTTCATTAAAAAAAAAAAAAAAAAAAAAAAAATTAGACTGGGTAGCTGGCTCGCCTCTGTCTGCTCAGGGAGGAAGGAATAGCCTTCTCTTCCAAGGGAAAGGGGTGTGCTGGTGTGCCAGCTACACCTCAGACTCCCTCTCCTCAGTGTGCAGGGTAGGCATCTCCCGGTGCAGACATTGGCTTTAATGAGTTGGGTTTTATGAGTAATAGGTATTGCATGATCTGGAAGCTAGAAAATCGGCTAACCACTTCCAGCCTCATTCAGAACCTTTTTAGCATTTTTGTGTTTCTATAAAAATGGACATGAATGAATTTGTTACAAAAGAGGAAGAAATTTAACAAAATTTGCAATTGGGTGCTTTTTGTTTTTTAAGTTGGGGGAGTTTTGTATTTCTGCATATAGGATGTAGGGCTTTGTGAATGCTAGGCAAGCCCTCTTCCACTGAGCTATATTCTCATCCCATGATTATGGCTTCAGGGATTGTTTAGTTTTGTGGTGGGGCCTTACTCTGTAGCCCTGACTGGCCTGGAACTTACTGTGCAAATAAGGCTGGCCTCACACTCTGGGCAATCCTTCGGCCTCTGCCCATCCTCTACCCCAACCCTCACCCCTGTGTACTGACCCCCAAGTACCTTGTTGAGCCTAGTTGCTGATTTTGCTTTGTTTTAATTTTTAAACATGTGCATGCATGTGTATTTGCCTACATGTGTATATGTGCATTGTGTATGCCCAAGAGTTTATGGTTATTGTTTTGAGACAGGATCTAATTAAGTAGCCCAGACTGCCCTTGAACTCTTGACAATCCTGTCTCAGCCTCCCAAGTGTCCAGGATTACAAGTGCTCTGCACTATTCCTATGTGGACGTTACCGTAGGGAGCTTGATTTCACCCTGTGATAAGCGAGGCTGAGTCTTTTCATGTACATGTTGGCCATGTGTGTGTATCTTAAGAATATTTGTTCTGAATCTGTTGTGAATTATTAACCTGATTGTTTGGGCATTTGCTATTGAGTTTTCAAAGTTGCTTAACTATTATGGATCTCTATCCCTAGTTCAGATGGTTAGTTTGCAAATATTTCCAAAGAATATGAAATCTAATCTGATACAATTAGAACCTTTAATGATAAACTTAAAAATTCAAGTGCTAGTTACTCTCCTCTATATAAGAAGATTACCCAAGAAAACAAGTAAACCGTTTTCATCCTGTATTTTCTTTGTGCATAAAATTCTCTTGACCTCTCACCCCACTGTTTTACAAAGGCATGGACTAACAAGGCCAAGGGAGAAACTGCTGGCAATGGAGCTGAAGCAAAGAAGCGAAAATATGTGGTCACTGAGGTTTGTGAGACAGAAAACCAGGAGGAAGCGGCCAAGGAGAATGTGGATCTGTGTAAGAAGCGAAAGTCGTTAGATCTTTCTACCAATGAGAAATTGTCAGCTTTTGCATTTAAACAGGAGTAAAGGAAGGAAGTGTCAAGAAATAGAGAAACTTGCTTGGCTTCTGGTGGATCCTGGACTTCTTTTAATCCTTAGGGAACGCATTATTATCGTCCTGTGTATTTAGAGATAGCTTTGTTTTCATAAGGCAGTGTGCAGCTCTGGGGGAGTGCATACCTCGTATGCACAAAGCCCTTGGTTCCATCCTTACTACTACAAAAGCAAAAAAAAAGTCATGTAGTGATTTCCTGTGTCAGGAACACCACATGCAAGAGCTATCTTGCTGATTACTCTGCCTTTCATGGACAGACGTGTCATGATTGCAGGGAAAACATCGTGTCCCTGTGGAGACCATTTTTATTGTTTCTTTTATTTAAAAATCATTAAAAGCCTCGGTCTTAAGACTGCTACATATTGCATTACCTTCTAGGGCTTTTCTGCCTTTGTTTGGGTTTTGTAGAAGTGCCACAGCCATGGCTTCCCGAGTGAGTTATCACAAACTACTTTCTTGTCAACTTGACCACAGGACCATAGTTTTTAATATGGGCCCCAAAGTGTAAATAATCCTGTGAATGAGATATGTTATTTTGTGTGTTTGGGAACTTTTTTAGGTATGGCTTTCTGTTATGTTTGTACAGCCTGGTTCTTTTGAATAAATAAAACTTTATCATTTGTATATCTGTCTCCATATACTTTTAACACTATCTTTATGCCCCACACTCTTCCACATCACTTTGCATGGTGGAAAAAGGCTGCGGGCCTTACTTTGAGCTTGTGGCTGTGTGAGCATCCATGATGCCCTTCTTATCGGCAGCAGCAGTGTTTTGGTGAGTGAGTCTTTGAAGGCTTGATAAGACAGTAGTTAGAAAAGGGAAGTGTCTAACTGCTATTTTACACAGGCACAGTTTAGTTGTTTTGTGCATTTTGCCCATTTGGGGTGGTGTGTGTGTGTGTGTGTGTGTGTGTGTGTCCCTGTCCGTCCGTCTCTGTGTGTGTCTATCAGGTCCATATGCCACAGCGTGTACAACGAAGCTCAGAGGACAATGTTGGGTATCAGTTCTTGCCTTTGTATGAAGTGGACTCTCTTTGTTGTCTGCAACTGGCTTGTCAGTTTCCGGGGATTCACCTAGCTTTGCCTCCCATCTCCGCAGGAGCCCTGGGATTTCAGGTGTGTGCTATGTTGCTATGTGCTCAGCATTATGTGTTCCAGAGACTCAAATTCGGGTCCTTAGGCTTGTATGGTAAGGGCTGTACCCACTGAGCCATCTTCTCGGCCCCACATTTCATTTATTCTACCCAGAAAACCAAAATATGGGTGCGAATAGTAAAGTGAGGCGACTCATAATCAGGAGTAGCTTATGGGTTGAAAGGAACCAAGTAAGTTGAGAAGTTAGATGTACAGGAACTGAAGGATAGTTCTTATCCTTATCCCACAGTGATTAAGGCTTGGAAAGATACACTTCTGCTTTTTAAATCAGAGTGGTATTGAGATATGTCACAGCACAGTGGTTAGAGTATAGACTCCAAAGCCAGACTGCCAGACTTGAAGACCCACTAACTACTTGTCAGCTAGATAACACTAGCATGGTCTAGCCTTCATCCCGTCACCTGTAACATGAGTAATTGTGCCATAGGGTTGTGATGAAAATGAGAGAAAAGAACTTTGTAGGTTTTATACGAATGTTAGCCCTTCTTACTATGCTATTGCTGATTCCATCTTGCTCCTTCATGAGGTCTGATTCTGAATACATATGAACTATTTTCAATGTCAAGATTTTTTTTTTTCTTTTTTTGAGACAAGGTTTCTCTGTGTAGCCCTGGCTGTCCTGGAACTTGCTTTGTAGATCAGGCTGGCCTCAAACTCACTGAGATCTGCCTGCCTCTGTTTCCCAAGTACTGGGACTAAAGGTGTAAGCACCGCCCACTTTACAATCTTTATAACTGAATTTTAATATCCAGACCACTCAATAAATGTGTTTCAACTATAGAGTACTGTTCAAAGAAACCACACTAACTTACAGTGGCCTCAGAGTTAGAACTGACCACGTGGGGAGAACGCATGAGGTAGGGAAGGAGACAAGAGCCTGGGGGATCTATGTGAGCTTGAGATTATGCAGAGCTACATAATGAGACCCTGTCTCAAAAAAAAAAAAAAAAAAAAAAAAAAAAAGCAAATCCAAAGTATGTTGCTTTCCAGGCCTCTGCCTCCCCCTCCCCCTCCCCCATAATGAACTTTGTGAAAAACTTGGTCTATAATATTAACAGTGACTGGGGAAATCTCTTAGGTATGTGTATGTGATCTTATAGTAAGAATGGCTCACACACAATATGTAGTATAAATTCATGTTCCATATAGAAAATAACTAAACAACCAGCCATTTTAAAACAACACCCGCCTAGAATTCAAAGTGTGTCTTTGTGTCACAGAAGACAGTAAGTGTGGATGATCCAATTTCTACAGATGATATTCTACAGTGAAAGATAATAGATAGACAGTAAAAGCAGTATGAAACAGCCAGGAAAACCAATACTTTAGAAAAATCTCTGCTAAGAATGACAAAAATAGAAAAGGACAAATACAATAAATGATCTATGACTGAAAAAATTATTACCTACAAATGGTACCAATAAAAATGGCTGGTAACGCTCAATTTGTAATCAACTACTCAAGGCCACAGGTATTGTGGGGTTGGTGTTCAACCCCAGTCTGTGTTGTGAAAGTGCTTCATCATGTATGTTTAAAGCCAATAATTAAGAGAAATAGAGTGAAGGAGAATATTCTAGAAAATGAGGTGGGACTGGTTAGGTCACTGAGGAAGAAGGAATTACAACTATGGACAGTGTCCTCTCATATCCACTATTTCCAGCAGACTCAGGGTTTCAGACCTGCACTGCAGCCCGTATACATATGAACCAATTCTTCCTCTGCGATAGATTCACCCCCTCTTAGATTTAAAGAATGTAATTTCCAACCTTCCAGTGTATGAAAGCAAGTGAGTTCAGAGATTATTAGTTTGTTAAACAAGCTTTCTTACCTTAGTGTAGTTAGATAGATCTATTATGTCATATATTGAAAGTGGCTGACAGGTGGAATCTTGTTTACAGTAGTTGGAAGATACTTTCTTGCCAATTGGAAAATGAGCAAAGGCCAGCTGTGGTGGCACACACCTTTAATCCCAGCACTTGGGAGGCAGAAGCAGGTAGATCCCTGTGAGTTCGAGGCCAGCCTGGTCTACAAAGTGAGTCCAGGACAGGCTACCCAGAGAAACCCTGTCTCAAGAAACCAAAGAAAAGAAAATGAGCAACACATATGTGTCTTGTCCCTGCAGGGCTCTGGGGTACTGCCCTAAGAGCAGGGGAGGGGATAAACCAGAGACAAAAGAACACAGAAGCTGGGATCTGGTGCACTGGGCTGTGATGGAGAAGCTGCAGGACTCTGGAAGCTCAATGTGTTTAGTATATACAGTTGGGCAGGGAGGCAGGGTTAGTGCATACAGTTGGGCAGGGAGGCCGAGTTGGCCAAACTAGGAACAGTCATAGGGGAACAGTCTTCGGGCCGTAAATTGAATGATGGGGGAGAAAGCTGCAGTGGACATTTTCTGCACCCACTAGCAACATTTGCATTCACAAGAAGGCTTTACCATCCCTCTAAGCCCCACCCAGGGAAGGCTTTGCTGCTCTCAAGGGACTGAGTCATTGGTCCTTGACTTGGCTGGATTATGTTAACAAGACATAACATCCACTCAGGACTTCACTCACTCTTTACAGATGTGCTCAGACGTTGACTGGGACATACAGATGGCAAATAAACACCTGAAAAGATATATAGTAATGTAGGATTTCTTTTTTTTCTTTTTTTCTTTTTTAATATGGATGTAAGTTCTGGAGAGGTGGCTCAGTGGTTGAAAGCACTTGGTGCTCTTGTGCAGGACCTGGGTTCAGTTCCCAGCACGTGCATCAGGCAGCTGGCAACTCCGGGGATCCCATGCTTCCAACTCTATCAGCCATGTACACAGTGCACAGACACATGTGGCCCCACATACACATCAAGTGAGTAAGACTTTTAATAAGAGAATGTACATGTCTATTCTTGAAGAATAGTATGGAGCAGATCAATGACAAAAAGGTTTGCCTACTACCAGGCATGGTGGTGCACCCCTTTAATTTCAGCACTTGGGAGAAAGAGGCAGATGGATCTCTGTGAGTTCAAGGCCAGCATAGTCTATGTAACAAGTTCTGGGACAGCCAAGGCTGTGTAGAGACCCTGTCTGGACTGCTGTTGTAACGGCAGCCGGCTTACCATTGATAGTTTCCCTAGAGGAGGACGTAAATATGGCCAGTAAGATAGGGACTCTGTGACACTTCCCTCCAAAACCAAATGTTACAGGAGCTGATAAAACATTGTGGCTGGGTGTATTAGACAATCAGCCCTGCATTGGAAAAGAAAACCCATACACATACCATCCAATTAGCAACTGAGCGAATGTGCACAGACAGCAAATGGGCAATGAGAAAATGTTCACAAATGCTTAACCATGTCAGGATGCCAATTAAAATTATAGTGAGGTATCACTATATGTCTGTCAAGAGTAGCCAAAATGAAAAATTACAGCAAATCCTAGGGAAGATGAAGAGAAACTGACTGCACTTATTGCTGTTGGGGATGTACAGCTGTAGTCACAGCACAGTCTGGAGTTTCTTTCTAAACTAGAATAGGGCCGTGCACAGATAAGCCCCCGAACACCTGCACTTGGGGGCAGAGGTTCTAGGTTGGTCAGCCTTATCTACACTGTAAATTTGAAACTGGGTTGAGCTAGATGAGACTCTGTCCCAAAAACAACTGGGGATTTTGGTAGATTGCATGCCCGGCATATACAAAGTGCTGGGTTTGATCCTCAGCACCACATAAAGCCAGGTGTTATAGGTACACACCTAAAATCCAACCACTTGGGAGGAGGAGACAAGATCAAAAAAACTCAAGGTCATCCTTGGCTACACAGCAATTCTGAGGGCATCGCGGGCTCCATGAGACCTTGTGTCAAAAAACAAGCAAACAAACAGAACGATTACAGAACCCCACTAAAATGGCCTTGCCATGTAACTTAGCATTTTTCTTCTGTACTTATCCCAGAGAAATGAATTTTAATTTGTGAATTGTAATTGTGATAGTCCCAAACTGAAAACTACCCCTGCTTTTTGACACAAGTAGTTATCTGAGTTGAAGGTACCTCAGTTGCAAAATGCCTCCACCAGATTGGCCTGTGCATGTCTGTGGAGCATTTTCTTAACTATTGATGTCATAGGGCCCAGTCAGCAGTGCCATCCGTAGGCAGATTCCATCCCTTGGCTGTTGTGTTAGTTACTTTTCTGTTACTGTGAAGAGACTTTATGACCAAAGCAACATAATAAAAGATTTTTTGGGGGCTCATACTTTCAGAGGGTTAAGAGTCCTTGACCATCGTGGCAGAAAGCATGGCAGCAGGCAGGCAGGCAAGCAGGCATGGCATAGTTGAGAACTCATATCTTGATCCACAAGCACAAGGGAGGCAGAGAGAGCTAACTGGAATCTTTTGAACGGTCGAAGTCCACCCCTAGTGGCATGTCTTCTCCAATAAGGCCACACCTCCTAATCCTTCCCAAACAGTTCCACCCACCGAGGACCAAGTATTGAAACAT